CCCCCCTCCACAGGCGCCCCGCCCCCGGCGTGGCCGCCCTGCCCCCGGGGGGGGGGGGGGGGGCAAACCTAGCCTCCCACCTCGAGCCAGCCCTCGTCGCCCCGCTCTGCAGCCCATTGTGGCTCTCCCCCCGCTGCAGGCGTACTGCGACATGGAGACGGACCGAGGGGGCTGGACCGTCATCCAGCTTCGCACCAACGGCAGCCTCAGCTTCCAGAGGAACTGGAGGGAGTACAAGCAGGTCTGCGCCCACCTGGGGAGGTGGGCACCCTGGGGGCACTCTGGGCATCCTCACCCACCCCACTGCTTCTCCAGGGCTTTGGGGACGCAGCGGGCGAGTACTGGCTGGGTAACGAGGCCGTGCACCTCCTGACGAGCCAGGAGCCCTACGCCCTGCGTGTCGAGCTGCGGGACTGGGAGGGTGGCCAAGTCTATGCCCACTACGGGAAATTCCAGCTGGGAAGCGAGCGGCAGCTTTACAGGTAGGAGAAGGACACCGCGGGGGTGGCTGCCCAGCTCTCCCCGTCTCCGGCTGTCCCCGAGCCCCACGGGCAGTGGTGGCCATGGGCAAGGGCTGGATGTGGTGCCCTGGGGAGGTGTGTGGCCCTGGGGGGCTTCACTGGGATTTCCTGACGGGGTTATGGCTCAGCAGAGCTCCTCCCCAGGTGCTGGGGGATATCGCTGTGCTTCCCACTTCTCTCCCTGGGCTCCTGAGAAGTAGATTTTTAATGCATGAAATTGCATCAAAGGAGGGGGATTTCCCATCCCAGCCAGCAGCCAGGGCACTCACACCACAGCTCGCTGCCTGGGCAAGTGGAGGTGACATGGTCATGGCAGCCAGACACTCCGGGGGGTGCCGGGCATCCCCATGCTGCTACACTGGTGTCCGGGGAGGATTGCTGTGCTCCTATCACCAGGCTTGTGAGGGCGGTGTGTGGTCCCAGGAACCTCAGCCTGACCATGGGCAGGAGGGGTGGCAGGCAGCTGGGTGCTTTGGTGCTGGGTTGGAGGTGGAACCAGACCCTGGAGATCCCCTGCACCATGCATCCTGTGCATGCAGAGCCGACCCCCAGCAAAAGGCACTGGAGAAGCCTTGGGAGGGTCTCCTCTCTGCCCCAGCATAGCATGACCTCCACCCTTGGGGACCCCGCACGACAGCCCCTCCAAGCAGGTAGACCCAGGCCAACCTGGAGCTGCAGGATCTCTGCCTGCATCCCCCCGTGCCAGCTCTTGCCCAGCTCATGGCATCCCATGGCCTTCACCCCTCCCTGAGCAGGGCTGAGGGGCTTCGTGAACCCCCACCCCGCTCCCAGCAGCAGCCAGCCGGCACTGATGGTGGCCGTGGCCATGCCATGCCGTGCCGGGCGGCAGGCTGTCGCTGCAGGACTACAGTGGCACGGCCGGGCAGCAGAGCGGCATGGCGCTGCAGGGCACTCGCTTCAGCACCCGCGACGCTGACAACGACAACTGCCTCTGCAAGTGCGCCCAGATGCTGTCGGGAGGTGAGCGGAGGGAGGGGGGGGACACCCACGCAGCACCCACGGGTGCCCGCCTGGGATGCCATCCTGCCACCCCGCTCCCTCCTCGCAGGCTGGTGGTTTGATGCCTGCGGTCTCTCCAACCTGAACGGCATCTACTATCCGGCCCGGCACAACATCCGCAAGCTCAACGGCATCCGCTGGCACCACTTCCAGGGACCCAGCTACTCCCTGAAGGGCACCCGCATGCTGATACGACCCGCCAGCTTCTAGCACACCGGCGGCCGGGGCGGCACCGCAACCGGTGCCAGCCTGGCACAGAGGGAGGGATCCGGGAGAAGGGATGGTTGCGGGAGACTGAGCCCTCCCGGCCGCTGCAGGGAAGCTTTTCCCCCAGTTATATTTTTTTTACTCTCGTTTATCCCATCTTCTGGGAGCCTGCGCATCATGGAGAGGGGCAGTGGCGCCGTGGCCGTGCCAGAGGGACCCACGGGCAGCGATGAGGGGCTCTGATGCTGCAGGAGTCGGCATGGGGGCTCTGCCTTGCACCAGAGCCAGCCCCGCCGCAGTGGGCTTTGACAGATGGAAACCACCCGATCCTACCTCAGCTTCTCTCCCCATCCTTCTGCTGGGCCTCTGGTTTTTGCCCTAGGGACGGGGGTCTGAGACCCCCCCAGGACCCCCTACACACTCAGCCGGGCTCCAAGTCATGGCGAGGGCTTTGCCTTTTCTGTATGTTTTAGGGCATTGCAAAGCCCCCACTGTCCCGCTTTCCCCGTGGGATTAGGGGAGCTGGCAGGGATGGGGGTCCCTGTGAGTGCGAGAGGCCGGTGCCATCCCTCCTTCCCCTCCTACCCAGGCACGGCCGTGCGGGGAGGGGGACACGGGCCATCCCCTCCCATGTGCATGGCCCCCGCCACTGTCCCCATGCATAGCAGCGCAGGCACTGCTCCTCGCAGGATGGGGCCGGGTCCCTTCAGCCCCCCGGGGTGGACAAGAGGAGCAGGGGGTGTCTTTGGGGACCCTGGGGGGACCAGCCCCAGGCGGGGATAGCTGGCGACTCCGTGCTGGAAGATGCTTGTTTTGGCAGGGGGCTGCGCTGGCAGGGGGCTGGCAGAGCCCCGGGACAGGCAGGATGGGGCTGAGGGGCTGCGGGTGGGGAGGGGGCTGCGGTTGGAGATGGGGCTGGGGGGTGGGAGGTGGTGGGAAGGGTCCCAGGGGTGGCTTTCGGCAGGGGGGGGCTGGGCTGGGGGCAGGGGAGGGAGGAGATGGGGATGCAGGAGGGGGAAGTGGGGCACGGGGCTGAGACCCCTCACCTGTGGTTGCATTGAGACAGCAAACCCACCCTGAGGGTGATTTTGGGAGAAGCCTGGGAAAAACGGGGTGCGGAGCAGCTGGGTCTCCAGCCAGCAGCACTGGGGCCCCATGGCCACCCCCCCACCCCCCCAAGCTGCTGCAGTTTGGGCTGGAGGGGCTTTTATTTTTGTACTAAGAGGTATTTATTTTCCAAGCATCGGTGGGGTGGGAGCAGGCAGGGGTGGTCCCTGCGCCCCACCAGCCTGGGGCAGGCACCTGTCCTCCCCACTTCAGCAACTGGGCCAAAAGGGTGGGTAGAAGGGCTGAGGGACAGGGCAGGACAGACGGACCCTGGTCATCCCCAGGGGACCCTGAGCCCTGGGCAGCTCGGTGCACGGGTGAGCCCACGGGATGGCAGGGCTCGGTGACATCCAGTCAAAGCCTGTAGGGACACCCTTCTGCAGGTGTCCCTGTCCCCCTGCAGTCCCTGGCCCTGGCCCCCCCGGCCCAGTTGCCACTAGAGGTCCCCCACAGCCCGGTGGCAGCTCCCCACAGCACCCTCAGGTGGGGGGACAGGGGTGCCCCACTGGGTCCCAAACCCTGGGGACTGGTGGCAGCGATGGCAGCTGCCAGGGACCCGCTACCTCCATGACACCCGCTGCCTCCCTCCCCAAAACGTGTCCCTCTTGCCCCGGGCAGTGTTTTGCCGGGTGGGTGACAGCAGAGACCCCACAGAGCCGAAGGAGCAGAGGTGCCGGGGGACCCTCTGCTGCCACCAAACCCCAGCCCCACTGCAGCTCGCAGGGGGACAGGGCCAGTACCCTGGCGTGGGGCGAGGGACACAGGGACACACTGTCCTCCCCATTGGGACGGTGGGACCCACTGGCATGGTGCTGGCACTGGCACCGGCACCACACGCGGCAGCGAGGAGGCTCCTGACGCCCTGCCCTCAACGCTGTCCCGAGGCATTCGCTAATTAACAGTGATTAAAGCACGTGACGTAGTTGGCACTTCCAGAAGATGCTCATCAGCGGGGCTGTGCGGAATAATTAAAAAATGGAAAATACAGGCTGGGGGGGTTGCCCAGGAGCTTCGCCCCACTCCCAGCGAGCAGCACTGCAGGCAGCAACCGTCCCGGCTCGGCCGCGGGCCCTGGCCCCCTGCACCCCGCCGGCGGCTGGCGCGGCACCGCTGCACCTGGGCCGGGGGGCTGCGTGCCAGGTGGGGGGGTGGCCCCCACCCTGGGGTGCTGGGCCTGGCTCCCCGGACTGGGGTGCTGCCGGTTTTCTCTCTCTCTTCCAGCTGCCTGCCTGCAGCTCCTGCCTGCACATGGGGCACCCGTGGGAGACGCCGGCACGGAGGGGCGAGGGCGATGGACACCCTCCCCGGTTGTCCGTCCTCCCTGGAAATAACAGATGGGCTCAGCTGCAGCTCCCCACCGAAACCGGAGCTGGCTGAGAGGCAGCTGCCAGGGAAAGTGATAGGGAGCACGGGGGCCATCCTGCTGTCCCCAGCAGGGACACGCAAAGGGGAGGCATTCCTGGGGGACACACGTCGCCTCGCTGAGACTGTGGCAGGTTTTCATGCAGGCGGTCCCACGGGTGCAGGGTCAGAGGAAGACTCCTGCCTCGGGATCACGGCTCCTCCTGTCCGTGCATCCACATGCACACAGGCGTGCCCATGGACATGCGCGCACACAAACACGTGCACATCAACACATGTACACACAAGCATGCAGGCACATGAATGTGCGTGTACACTTGGACACACATGCACGTGATCACGCACGCACAAAGAAGCACACAGGGCTTGGGACAGCCACGGCAGGTCCCAGCCACGCAGGTCATGGGATGCCAGAACCAAGCCGAGGGCTGGCAACGCCTGGAGGGCCATGCCAGCTGCTCTGCCCCATGCCCGGCGGGGGCCAGTGGGGGCCCCCCCTTCTCCTTGGCAATAGCAGCAAATTTAGACCAAGCCCCGGACACGCCAGGCTGAGGAATCCGGCCAGCACAGCCGGTCCCAGCCGCCGACAGGGATCCGTGTCCTGCAGAGCTTTCCCTGAGGGCAAAGCCTGCCTGTGCCTGGGGTCCCCGTCACCCCCTGGTTTCCCCCTCCTCAGGGATGCCCCCAGCACCCCACGTGCCATCATTAAGGATCCCTTGGGCGTGGGTTTCCTCCCCAGCCCGTTTTGTCAGCCTGACTCACGGACCAGATGCCATCACCGTGTCCTGCCCGCCGCGCCGCAGGCAGCCAAACCTGCCTGTACCCCACTGGGAGCTGGATGGATCCTGCAACCCTGGGCGGTGGCTCTGGGCGGACGTGCAGGGCGCAGGAGCCAGACTGGGTTCGGAAGTGCTTCATCCCCATGAGGGTTTTTTTGGGGGACCCCAAGTGCTGGATGGAAGCCCCGGTCAAGGGGACCCCCGGTGCTGCCCCAGCCAGTGGCTGCAGGGTCCAGGTTGAGCGAGGGGAGCACTGGCTGGGGTGGGACAGGGTGGCAGCGGCTCTGGACCCTTTGAAAATAAAAACTGCAGCCCTGGGGCGGGCGGCTCGACCTTGTCACTGGCCCATCACCACCACCATGCACGTGGCATTTGCCGAGCGGTGCCCGCGCCAGGCAGGCTGGCTCCTTGCACGTATGGAGCTGTTTGTAGCCGCAGCCCCACCACCATGGCTGGAGCCAGAGGGAGGCAGCAGCAGGGCTGGTGTCCGGGCAGGGTCCCCTGGGTGCAGGCACTGGTGGCTTTGGTACCACCTTCCCCAGCAGCCATATGGCCCTGTGGGCTGCACCAGCATCACAAGGAGCAGAGGGACTTCACCGGCGCGACTTCACCGGCGCAGGCAGCACCCGCGGTGCCCGGGGGGGGGCCGCGGTGCTGGGCGAGGCTGCCTGGGGATAACGCACGGGTGTTTTTTATCTTCAAAGCGCTCCCTGTGCCGACTTTCATCCTTGCGCCTCCCCAGCCCTCTTGGGAGGTCTCCGCTATCGCCGCCCCCATCTCGCAGTCCCGGAGGAGCCGGGACTCGGCCAAGCTCAACAGCACTTTGCCGGAGCGGAGCGAGGAGGCAGGGGAAGGCTGCATGGTCGGCACGGTGCTGGCTGCGGCACAGAGGGGAATCCCGCCGGCCTGGGCTCTGCCGGGACCTGCCAGACCCAACCACCGCCCCTGATGTGCCCGCCGGGCCCCGCGCTGGCACGCCGTGGCACGGCACCCATCGCTCCTGCCAGCACCCAGCCGCTCGGCACTGCCAGCCCCTGCTGAGCCGCGGGCACCCGAAGGGTCCCTGCCCCATCCCGACCTCCACCACCTCAAGAGACAGCAACGCACGCAGCCTCCAAAGCACAGAGATTTAATAAAACCGGCTGTGTTGTTATTACTATTTACAGATCAAACATCAGGAAAAACAGTAGAAATGAGGAAAAGACCAACAACCGTCGTCTTCATAAATACCAGGGCTCACCATGCCCGGGGCTGTGCGCCCGCTGGCACCCGGGAGGGGACACAAGCACTCGCAGACACTCGCACACACACACAGCCCTGGGCTGCTCGAAGCGGGGGGTCAGGTTTGCCCCCACCCCCGCGAAGCACCCAGCTTCTCCCAGACCTTCAGCATTAAGACGGGGACCACCAGGACACCCCGGGCAGCATGGCCCCCTCGGTGGAGGCTTGCAGGGGGGCAGCTCCTTCCCCCGGGCCGTGTCCCTGCTCCGTGCAGGGGGGGGGGGAATCAGCCCCTTACCCCCCACCCATGGGTGCTGGTGAGGAGCAGGACAGGCAGGAGCTTCCAGCAGCACAGGAAGGCTGACCGCACATGGGGTCCCATGGGAGTGGATGAGGGGAGGGTGTTGGGGACCGGCCACGGATGCGGGGGCGCATGTGTCCTCTGCCCTCCCACGGGCTCACGGGGACGTGGCTCTCCAGTGCCAGCGCAGGAGTCTGACGGAGCCAGAGCCGGCGGGAAGGATGCCCAGTCAC